TTTTTCTTCTAATATAATTTTGTAAAAAAAAAAAAATTAAGATATTTTCATATTAAAATTATTTTAAAAAATTCAAATTTAATTGTACAATAAATGAAATTAAAATGAGATTTATATTATATTTTATTTATTATATAATTTTGATTAAATATCTTGATATTTTTTAATATTATAAAATTTTATTTTGAATGGATTTCAATTGAAAAGATGAGGATTCGAATCTTATTTTAAAATTAAGAGATATATATTATAATGAAATATTTAACTATCACTATACAAAAGTCAGGTGCTTAATACTATAACATTTTAATTTTTTACATCCTCATAATTTTGATTCTCTTTTTTTTTTTCTTTTTGTTAATTTAGTCTGTAATTTCGCATTGATCTTTCCAAATATATTAATGAATGGAGATTATACTTCCCGTTAAAAAAAACTTCACAACTTTGAGAAAATGGTTTTATTTTAATCTAGATAAGTTGGTGCACAATCATCTTGGGCCCCATTCAACATAAATTCATCACACCACATAAACCAAGCACCTCCATTAGTCTTGTTGTCTCATCTTCAACTTGACCCAAATTATGATATGGTGTCAGCTAGCTAGAGCCTTCATCAGTGGCTTCTCCTTCTCCCTCCTCAATCCCAATCCAGTAGTATTATATTAGTTTTATATTGATATTTTTTTTTTGGGGGGGGGGGGGGGGGGGAGTTCAATGAACACCACAAAAACATACTTTAAAATAATAATAATAATAATTTCAGATATAATTGAAAATTTGAGTAATAAACCAAATATTGCCCAATTGACATCTCACAAATGGGAAGAATCTTGATGACAGACAAAACTATATATATTTGTCAAAAACACTCCGAAGAAGCCAGAGAATGATAGTAACTGAACATGAAGTGGGTTCTGTCATGCAAGAAGAAGACAACCAATGCAACCCAAAGACACCAAACCAAAAAAAAAAAAAAACCATTAACAAACTGCATTTGCTTGATCTGTTCGAATTAATTTAAGATTAATCAACTCTGCTAATCATCACTAATCACTAAAGTTAGATGACATTTGGACACATAATGCCACATGTCTTGTGGATCTTCCTCACCTTTAGCCGTCCAGTAAGTCAACTGACTTGGGGTTTGGTTTTTCATTAACTGGTAACTATTAGTTAACTAATAATCAATCCTACAAGCTGTTTTAGTATTAAGGAGTAGGTTTTGTCCTTTTTTGCAGGTCTGCTTGGCCTTTGGTGCACGGGGCGCCCACATAATTCAGAAAATCTTTTCCCTGCATTAATATACCAGTACCGTAAAATCTTTCCACTGCATTATTTAATATACTAGGACAGTAGGTCCGGAAGCACATTAGTTACAATTTAATGAATGTGATGTTTCATTTTCATGTTTAGTGCTCTTTTGTTTTTGTCTGTTGTGCAGTAGTTTTTAGATTACCCTCCCTTTTATCTTTTATATCTTATACAAACTCTAGATTTCAATTGTTATTTGTTTAACCAACCGGGCTGAGGCCCAATGGATGATCCTCAAGTCTTAGGGTTTGGGTGAGGCGAAGGTCAGGACTTCGAGTTCTGCTATTGCTGTGAACTTTACCAACTTATAATTTAATGGTCATGTGCCTCATATGAGGGGTTGGAATGTTCACCATTCTGAAAAATCTCAGCTATTAACAAACTAACTCTACTAACTTCCTAACCATTATCTTGTAAAAAAAAAAAAAATTGTTATTTGTTTAGTGGTAAGTTGAAAGTATGCCCCCCTTCAAAGGCAAACTTCATCTGGTTCATCAGAGTGCATGCTGGACTTCAATTCTTCAGAATATGGAAAATGAGGGAAAGTGATTCTTGTCTCATTGCTCGCAAAATTGTACCTTTGTGCTGTGCTTCCCCCCTATATGTCTCTAATCCCATGAATCCTTCTTGGAAAACTACCCCAGACAGACAAATAATGCAACATAGAACACAGTATCTCTAAAAGTTGAAATTTGAAATGAAATCAATACTGACCGTTTTGAGGTATCCTAAATCTAATCTACCCCTCTAGATCAACCTCAGGAGCCTAATCCATATACAATTATTTTAAATTGGGTTAAAGCCAACTATAGTCCCTATACTTTCATTTTTTGTTCATTTTCCTCCCTGTACTTTAAAATCATTCAAAGACCTCCCTATACTCTCTCAAAACATACTAC